TCCAAAATCTGGAGGGCTGCCAGCAGGAAGGAAGTGATGCCAGGGCACTCTACCCAGGGGGACAGCTTGAGGCTCTGTCTCAAAAAAAAAAAAAAAAAAAAAACTGTCTGAAGATGCTTGCCAGTGCAATAAAGTAAGAAAAAGAAATAAAAGGTGTTAAAATTTAAAAAGAAAATGATTGCCTACAATCTCCCTCCACCCCCCCCAAAAAATCTAAAAATAAATAAATTTATAAAGGCAAATAAATAAATTTAGAAAGGAGATAAATTTAGAAAGGTTGTGAGACACAAGATAAATATATAAAGATTAACTATGTTTGTACATACTAGCAATAAACTGAAAAAAATAGAGAACATTAAAAACATAACTTACCTAGAAATAAATCTACTAAAATATGTGTAAGATCTCTGCAGTGAAAACTACAAAATATTAGAGAGAGAAATTGAACTTATACTGGAGGGTTGCCCCATGTTCATGGATTTGAAAGCTAAATATTGTTAAGGTGTGAATTCTCCCCTCAAATGATCTAGAGATTCAGTGCTATCTCTATCAAAGTTCCCCAGGTTTTTGGTTAAATTGATAAACTTATTCTACAATGTACACAAAAATACAGAGGAACTAGAATAGCCAAGGCTATTGCTTCTTTCATTATTACAAATAAGGCTGCGGCAAACATCTTTATGTGCGTCTCCCTGTGTGTGTTCAGGGCAGACTTCAAGTAAAATTTCACGCGGTGTGGTCTGCTCTTCCTCTGAATTGCTGTTGCATCTCTGTCAGAAGTCACTTGGGCAGACTTGTGTAGGGTGTTAAGTCAGAGTTATTTATTTATTCCCCTACTGACAAACAGTCAGTTATATAATGTCCTGTTTTCTTTTATATACTTTAAATGTTTGGCAATTAAACTAATCAAAATCACCAAAAACAAAACTACAAAACCCCAGAAGTTCCACTATCAGATTCTCCACTTACAATTATGAGGCTTTTATTGTTATAGAATACGTATGACTTACCAATGATGGTCCTTGTATTAGATAATGCTCTAAAGACTAACTCAAAAAAAAAGAGCATTATTAATTATAAGGTACTGAAATGTGGAGTGAAGTTACCTCTTCATCAGATAAAGTTTTACCAACTACTGTTTTGAAAAATCTGATAATATCTTCTAGAACATGCATCCATTCTTTAGACTCCCAAACACTGTGATAATCCTGGTAGAGAGGATAAGCTCGGCCACAAATGCCATCAATTATTTTGTGAAGAAGCTGGAGAGAAAAAGGAAATAAAGGTACTTAATAAGGAAACTTTAAAAAAAAAGAAACATTTCATTGTTGGGCAAAGTTCACATTATCCGCAAGAGTACCTGAAGTTAAAATGTAGCTACTATTAAAGTTATTCTTACTAATGAAAAATTAGAGCTCCATAAAAATCCCAGACTTTCTATTATTGACTCTACCTTCAAAAGCTAAGATAATTTTATAGATTATAAAAACAATATATTGGGAGGAAAATGATTGTTTTTTCAATCTTCCTGAAAGGAAGATGTTAAGTCTAAAACGTCACCTCAGAATCCTTAGACACTGTATGTTCACCAATGACCAAAGGGTGTGACTTTGACATCAAAGTCTTTCACTTAGACTTATAAAGCATTTGCCTTGCCTCATTTTCCCCACATTCATACTTACTCCTTTTGTTCTATATTCTGAGAAAGGCTCGGGGCCTTTTCCTTTTTCCTTTCCCTTCTCCCTATGCTTTCTTAATATCTGCAACAAAAATCCCATCACATACATCACTGAACATGGAGATTAGGGCTGTGGATTTTGGATCAAAACTAGCTAGCATAAAACCCAGTTCCACTCTTTTCCAGCTTTATTCAAAAATTCTGTGTCTCTGTTTCCCCTCATGTAAACTGAGGATCTCATCTATTTTCATAATGTTGTTGTAGGGATTAAAAAAGAACATGTGGAAATCACTCGGCACGTTCCCAGCACATACAAAGTCCTTCCACGTTGCAAGCCATTGTTGTCATCCTTCTTATCATTCACTACTACTTCTCCTACAATCCGCATCTTCAACATACACCAAGTGCCTACTATGCCAGTACCATTCTAGGAAAACACTTAACACGGTTCTATTTCTTACAGATATTTGTCATTTATGAGAGGAGTATCTGAATCCAAATAACTGGGGAGAAAAACACTTAAGCTGCAAGTCTTCTGACTCTTCTTCTGGGACATTCCACTCTACTCCAAGTCATAACTCCTTCGCTGTAACACCACACATCCCACCACACCCTTCCAAATGGTGCCTGACAGAGTATGCAAACTTTGTCCCTAAATCAACCAGTACTCAATTTTTAAATTCATTCAGAACTCTCCACATAGATGCCTTCTTGTCTCCTATGCTAAGTCAAAACCCAGAATTCAAACTAAAAAATGAAAGTGCTGTCTTGTTGGAGTATGTTTTGTACTCATTCAGAACTATGTAATGAACATGTCATGACAGTTATTAAATAAGAAAATGAAATACAAAGAAAAAATAACTACACTGGCTACCATGTGTGGTGTCCTAATTAGGAACCAGCCCTCGCACTTTTCCTCACCACAACCCTCTGAGGTTTTGTTGTTATTCCCAACTTTACAAAAGAGAAAACAGAATACATAAAATAAGGCCCTACCATAACAGAGCTTTAGTTCATTACAAAAGAGCAGAGATACAAACAAATAACGGCAATTTAGAGAGAAAGGAGCTATGATAACAGTTTATAGAATGTCACATCCACTCTCCACTCCCAGCAGAGCACAGAGGAAGGGAAGGGAAGGGCTAAGTCTTAAAAGGCCACACCAGCAAGAGAGGGGAGGGTATTTCTCATCACAAGCAACTCTATATACACAGGATGAAAATGTAAAATCACACTGCCTGATTGGGGAATAGCAGGCAATCTGGGCGGTGAGGGAGAGTGCTAGGAAACAAGGCTGGAAAGGTGGGTTGGGGCCAAATCATAAGTGGGCCTTGTATACTACAATGAAAAGAGCCTAGACCCTAATCTGTGCTTAACAGGGCAGCAATCTCATATGTTTGCACTATGTCTTCCATAAATTTGCCAACAGCTTGGGAGATATAAGGAGAGAAAAAGGGGAAAGACAGACCAAAGCCTCAACCCCCATATCTAACACCCCACAAGCACTGCGTCTCTAGGTGATGAGCAAAAGATTCTGGGGGCCTCAATTGCTGAAGACACTCAACATGGAGGCAGTAAAGAGAAATGTGAGGAGGAGGGAACCCAGATTTCGGGTGGAGTGACTAGGTAAAGGCCAGGAGGCCACAACAGAATATGAGGCTACGGCAGGGGTAGGGCCACATGGAAAGGAAGAGGAGCTCAGCCACAGTCATACCCGATAGCCAAAAAAGACTTTGGCTGGATGCAGAGAGTTAGAAGCCATCAACATATATGATGGTAAAGGTTACAGGCCTCATCTAAGAAGTGGGCAGAATGAAGACAGCCGACCAGAAGGCCCATAAACGATGCTACAACGCTATGTTCCACGTTGCTACTGAGCGGCTGGACAACCCTGGGCAACATTTCAGTTTCCTTATTTGAAAAACTGGAGAAAAGAGTGAAGGTGTTTTTGTCTTGATTCTGCCAGTAATGTACTCCTGTCTGTTTCCCCCACATGTCCCCACTGTAAATAAATGGAAGGGGGGAAATGAGAAGGTGCAACTTACAAGATACTTAAGCAGGACACAGTCTGCGTCTCGCTCACCATTTCACCTCCCCCCATCAGGGCTCTCTATGTACGGTATGGTAGACTCAGTGAAAACCTGGCTTGTTCTTGATCCTCATCAGCCTGTTGTAAATGGATATGTCACCTCTTGAGATCATCCTAACTAAAGTCGCCTGTTGAGTCGCTTCCTTAGAAACGCGTCCAACGTTTCTTTCTGCCGCCCTCAAGGGGGCAGGGTTGGCTTCGCTCTAGGTCACCACGGACCCCGGCGTCAGCACCCAGCACCGCGCCAGGTGCCCAGGGAGCGTTTGGGAGGCGTGTGCGAACCGAATGAATGAAACGTCTCACGTTGGCAGCTTTCAAAGACTACGTGGCGACTCCACTCCCCAGACCAGGGTCTCTGGGTCCTGGGCTGGGCTTGGGAGCAGGTGGGCGGCCCCCAGGGGTGCGGTGCCGGGCGCTTGTACGCGCAAAGTCCCTGGAGCAGCAACTCCACGGTGGAGTCCAGAGCTAAGCCCGCCTAAACCCCCGGGGAGGCCGGGCCCCCAACCGCGCAGCCTCGGCCCCGCCCTTCTGGGGAGCCCGCGCAGGTGTCCGGGTCGCAGCCTGCCCGACCCGCGCCCCAGGCAGCGCCAGAGCTCCGGCCTCCAGCCGTGGCCGCCTGCGCACTCCTCACCTGTGGGCCCAGCTCGGCTGGCAGCTTCTGCAGCCGCCACAAGGGCGTCCCCTCTTCCGGCTCCATCCCCGTGTGAAGCTGGGGTCTGGGTCACGTGACAAGGCCCGGCGGATCCGCCCACGTGACACTCTGGTGGGGCGGGGCCGCGCACGGAGACGCAGGCGTCCTTGTGCGCTTGCGCAGGGGCTCAGACCTCGTTTTTCTGACGGAAACTGGGGAAGTTTCTACAGCTCGCTGGCCTGTGGTTTCTCCTCCTTAGTGCCGTTACTTGGGAGGCACATTTACAAATCTTTCACTGCAGTTCAGTTCACAAGTTTGTACAGAGTTGTAATGAACTTTCTCGGCACTCCTATAGATAACCCTCTGTAAGAGGAACCTTATTTTGGTGTGCCCGGGGCCACTGTCCCTGAATTTTAACATAGGCCTCTGCTTAAGTATCCTGATTAGGAAAGTAAATTAAGGTCTTCACGTGGATAAGGTCCTTTATATGTATAGCCAAAGAAGAAGGTGCTATTTTCACCAGTTTGCAGGTAACAAGCATGATCAGAAGTCACTGGAGTTGTCAGATTTAGCAAAAAGTATGGGACTCCCACTTCAATATGAAATTTCAGATGAATTATGAGTAATATTTTATTATAATTATGCCATGAATGTTGTGTGGAGTATCCAAAACCTTATTTATCTTAAATTCAAATTTAATAGGATGTCTTGTATTTTATCTGGCAGCCCTTTGCCAAGCTAAGTAGAGTCACAGCCTGAAGTTAACATCAGTCAGATTCTAGCACTGTGCTCTTGTAAACATTGGCCTGAGCCGAATGCCCAAATATCCTTTATATTATTTATCTTATTATTACAACTGTTACTTTTTTCGGGTTCAGGAGAATTAAGTAGTAATAAGACAACTGCATCATGCAAAAGCAGACAACTTGTAGGCATAAACAGAGATTAACAATCTAATTTAGAAATCTAATAAAAAAAAAAGTGAAGCCTACTGCAGATGAGAAAGTTATTACGATTCAGTCTGTGCAGAGAAAAACTCTTCATTAGTAGGATTCTTCAAGGCTTAACTCAATTGCCCTTTCTCTAATCTGTGCCCAAGTCTTGAGGGCGAAAGTATTCCTTTCTCCTTTGAATTTTCAGAGAGACAGGGTACTTTAGCTTTCCCTCATTTAAAATATTACTACTTTGTAATGGAAAGTTCTTGGTCCAAATAGATACGTGCAACTCTGATTGCCCCAACTGAAATGTAATTGCCTTATGACGAAGTGAGTCGGAACTCTCCAAGTAGTA